AAAACCAAAGAAAAAAATAAAGAAAGCAAACCGAGAAAATAATGCAGTAATAATGATTGCGGTTGGTTTTAAGAACAAGAACAGTAGTCAACTAATTGCGTTCGTGGGGGGAACAAACAAACAAAAAGCGAAAACGACAACGACGATGATGAAGATGTGTTTTTGTTTCGATTTAAGTCCATCGCAAAGAGACAAAGTTCAATTTGTACACCACGGCCATTCTCTCTTGGCCATTGATCCGTTCTGACGTTTACTTGACAAAATGTCCACAATTAACACGGATATGTGTGTGTATGGCAATTAATCGAAATAATAGATGTAACTTTTTCCAGTCATTTTGACGTGGAAATGTGTCCAATTTAAATGTGTTTTCAATTAGGCTCTACAACGGGGAAATGTTCAAAATGCATTTGATTTGTCATTTGTCTCACTTGATTTAACATTTAATTGACATTAATCCTGGACTGTCGAAAACCATTCGGACACTTGGTGTGTTCGTACACACCAATAGCGGGCGACGGCAATACTGTTGTTACAACAAAACAGATGCTCGAACAAATGACCGAATGAAAAAATGAGGCACCAATCAAATAATCCTACCGATGGAAGAGAAGACTACTTACTTCGAAGCGAATGCGTTTGGATGTTAAAAGACGTTCCATTTGAACTTGTTTGATGGTTCAACCGTGCAACCGTGCAACCGGAAATGTCAAAAGTGATGCGTTTGATGTGTGTATTCCTTTTCTTGAGATAGTTTACTTTTACCTCACCCAATCCGGTCGAATGTTCTTGTTGTATGTATAGGTTTTGATGGCCTCTACCTCTCCAATCGTCCCATTATTATTAATGCCAAAAAAAAACAGTTCTTTGTGCCGGTATAAAGAACCAAATTTCAAATGATGCGATTTAAATGGTACACGGTGTATTAGAACATAGTTTTATTTCACTCTCGATTTGAATAATACAATAAGTTTTAACAATAATTTCTGTTTTCCACAAGAAAAAAATGTGAAAATTTCAATCCGAGTCAATTTTGACGATGATGATGAAAGAAAAGAACTTCTTTTTTTTCTCTGAGGAGCTAAAAGAAAATGTTGCAACTAAATCCGTTCAAATATTATTCGCTAGATTGCATTTATCGAAATGTGTTTGTTTTCATTCAAGCATTAACAATTCAACGGCTGTACGGGATAATGTGTTTGTTGAAGCCATAACGTGTAATGTGTAAGAAATTGATGGAAATCGACGAATGAATGCTTTTTCCTTCTTCTTCTCCTTCTTCTTCTTCTTCTTCTATCATCTACGGTGCTACTGTTTGCGCATGCTTTCACTCATTCCATTCGCTTGTTCGTTCTCTCGCTCGTTTGCTCTCTGAACGTCCCAATCTCTGTTCTCGAAATGTTGCTCACATCGATCGATACTGATTCGGTATTTTGTGTCTACGGGCATTTCGTTCTTCACTTTATATGAAACACTTCTCGCGCAAAGCATCTCAATGCGATTGTGAATGGGATTTTTGTTTATCTCGATTTGGTTTGCATTTAACCTGGAATCACAAAACTACTACTCTCGAATCATTCATAAACTTGTTGTTATGAAAACAGAACTGGAAAAAAAAACGACCGAAAAAACAGAAGCAAATGACTTGATTACTTACTGTTCGAGTTAAATATTTAAGTATAGATTGAGTAATTAAAATGCCTAAGTCTTTAAGACACTTCATATGCCAAACGCTCTAAGAGATGGTTTTCATCGCTTTTTTTTCTTTCTTTCCTATTTCTCGTTGTTCATGTTATTGAATGCAAATGTTTTTTTTTCCACGAAATCGATATCCTTCCATTTGCAAATCAACATATTCGCATTTGTGCTCATGTTCGTATGTGTAAAATGGTTAGAACGTCCACAACGATCATCCATCATCCAGGTCCAACTGACTTTTATGACCGTACCATTTTTCTCAATACCAGCCATAAATTCATATTGTTATTGCTACCAAGTATTTTGCTAACCGCAAATTCATCAACCGAATATATGAGCCTCATAAAAACAAAGTAATATGACAACTACGCTTGCGTTGCCTGCCTCAGGTCAGACCGAGTCAGAAAGAAGAAGAAGAAAAAAAAACCCTAGCAAACACAGCAATAACAATACTGACAATAAAACCTAATTACATTTTAGCTGGAACTACTGAAGAACTGAAGTCAAGAAGAACAATTGACATGCGCTCTATTCGCACTAATTGTGGCCTCTTTGGTAAGTTTTGATGCTCGTTGCCGTTTTATTCATGTTTTCATTTATGACTTTTTGCGGTTAGACTTAGCGACGATTCAGGATGCTTTCACCTATTGTTTACCTTGAAATTGCTATGGATATGTCCCCGTTTGAAATCCTCGGCATCGAATATTCTGCCAAAGTAAAATTTACTACTGTTTCACCTTTGTGTTCATTCCACGTATTCCGAAAGTAAGAATGAAATTTCGATCAAAGGACAGTTATGGGCCAAAACTTTAAAAATAGCACACAGAAGAATGGCCAGCAAATGCGGGATTTTTTTTTTCTTGTGATTTTCATCCGTATTTGCTCGTTATTTCCACCAAACATACGGAATATCATTTTTCGATTGGGCGTTGATGGCACGGAAAAAACATCGCCATTTAATCCCGGGCAAGGGCGAGATGAGTGTTTGATTTGATTATTGTTCAAAAGGATTATTTGGTTTTTATCGATTTTTAATGCAGTAATCCATTGAGATGCAATCTATTTGATTCCGTCGTTAATTCGGATCAGTTTTCAGTGTGGTGGCGTGCCGGAGAATACTTGTTGCCAGCGCTTTAGAAGAATTAATTCGGATTTGTTGGCATTACATGCAAGAATTTATGAAGAAAATCTCTTCGCATAAGTTACTTATTAACCAGACATACACACACACACACAATGCCATCCTGTCTCTGGATCATCAATTTTTGTTTTTGTTATCTCGCTGTTTCGGCATGAGCCTGACAACTCATCATTTTCGAGTCCTCGTAACCTAGATCTTGAAAATTGCACAATTATATTGCGTTAATTCCGCCCATTTAACCTTCGAGATTAAACCATTTTCGGCAAAGTCAATTCAGTTCATATGGTTTATTTTTAGAATTGAACGTCTCACGTGAAGTATTTACGCGATTTTAAGTTTATTCCTGTTCAAATCAAATCAATTTTCCCTCGAATTTTCTAAAAAAAAAAACTTAGTAAAACAAAAGGAAAGTTTTTGCATTGAAAAGGGTGGGTTTTATTTAAAAAGCTAAAAATTCCCTTTATTCACTGTCGTTGAATTGAAATGTCATGTCAAGAGAGAAACAAAATGAACAAAATTCATCGTTCCAATTCATCATATTTTTTTTGTGCTCGATTCGATGGCGTTTGATTTCACACTGTGAACGAGATATGAGTTTTCGTCTCCACAGCATTTTTTTGGGATAAATTTGATGCTTCTATATTCTGGAACGCGAAAAAAATCCAACTCGATTTTGGTTGTACGACGGGGAGTGGCCTATTCACAACAAGTTAGATAGGCAGCAGCGGAGTTAAAAACAAGAACATGATTACGAAATGAAGAAAGGCAAGGAAAAGAAATACGTGTTTTTTCATCATCATCGTCGTCGTCGTTTTTGTTGTTGTTGTTGTCGTTTGTATACAACCCACGAGAAAAGTCCGTATAAAAATACGGAGTGAAAAAGAAGGCACACGACGTTGAATTGTGAACAGAATAACAACGGCACAATTATAATTATGATTCGCGTTGCTATTCTTCTTCCTCTGTGTGTGCAATTTCAATGTGATAACATTCAGCATCGAAGGGGTTTCATGCAATGCCGTTGCTACGCAAAATATCTTCTTCTGACTATTCCTCATTCGCTCGCTTTGATGGAGTACATTTTCCACATACGAGCAAACAAACACATGCGAAATTCGACAAGCAGCTCCATCATCAGCAATATACATGGGCTCATAACAGCCTCTTGAATTTGCACAGCAAGATTTGGCGAACGAGAGAGTTGTCATTAATATATACATTTAGTTGTTGTTTTTTTTTTCTCCTGTAGTTGAAATACTCAGTAGTAGTGTTTAATGTTTTATGACAACGCATATAAACGGGGAACATGAGAGCGCTTGTTTGGTGCGCCATCAAAAATTTATGATTTGCAAAAGTCATTCGATGTGTTTACGTGCAGCGCACAGCAGAGCCGAGAGATAGAGAGAGAGAAAAGTATGAGCCGTGGAAAAAAAAAGAACGTGAATAAACGATGTGCTACACCATTGCTAAGCCGATCCAACAATGTGTATATCAATTAAAGCGAAGTGAAAAAAAATGAGGTAAAAAACATCTGCGTCTATTTGATCATGATGAAAGTCCCAGACTATATCACCCAATGAAACGGTAATCGCGATATGGCAAAAAAAAATTGAATCGACCACATCTTGTCGATTGAGGAAAAATCCAAGAAACTGGAACTAACAAAGAATCAGATGAAAAATCGAAACAAATCGACCATATGAAAAAAAAACACGGTAACAAATGTGCTGAAATATTTCAGCATTCGCAAATAGAATCGAAACGTAGTTGTTTCGGCTGTTGTTGCTGTTCCTCTTCTTTTCTCTGCGCTATGTTCGGTGTACACTAGTGTCTATTGGGCCTGCTTCATCGCACGGATGAAATCAAGCCGCTTCCTTCATTTTACATTTGAACCATACACAACTCGTTACACATCATGTGCGAAGCATGTAATGAATAAAAAGAGATGGGAATAAAGGCAAGAGTGTCGAAAAAAGAGACGACACCGTCGATTCCGTGCACGAGAGAGGCGATACTGTCTCCGTCATACATGCACAAGCCCTCAGTGGTAGTCGTTCATTACGAAGATTGTACGCAATGGAATCACAATACACTCACATGCTCACGTACACACACACAGGCTTCGACGAACGAACGCCAACCAACTGATACATAGCATCGTGTTGGGCTCGACGTTGTTCTGTGTACGTTGTACGTGTGTCTCGATGCTCTCTCACTTGTACACGCTTCATTTCGTGCTTCGTATTTGGTGCGCTGTGGAACCATAATTCAACAATACGGTCAGCAGTTCAGTTAGAATTCGTGTCTCGCGTTGAATACACACGCTGCAGCTACTCTCTGCGTCATGTGCATTTTCTGTTGAAGAAGAACCAAATCAATTCGAATTAAAAAAAAAAAAATCTGAAATCAATTCAAAGTCAAAACAACGTGCGACATCATTTGTTTTTCATCTTTCGATTCAACAAATTGCAAATTGCCAAAATATTTAGTGTAAATCTGATAAGCCAAGTTGGAACATAAAAAAAAGAAGATCAACACGCTGTTTTCCGAGCATCAATCCCGTTGTATCACATCCGATACTACAGTCGGTTTGAATCACATCCCGGAGAACGAATCAAATCTAGCGAATTTACGAATGAAAATGAACACAAAGTGCTAAAAAAAACCAAGTCACAACGATAAAATTCACAATTTTTTTTCAGTCTTAGAAGTATTTCAAGTGGGAAAAATTGTTGAAGGATATTTCGTTTGACATTCGCTCACAGAAAGTGTTGTTGAATTTTTTTTCTGCTGAAGTTATTGAAAGACAAAATTGTTTGCCTGTTAATTGCTAGTGAAAATTGTGGTAAAATCGACACACCATCGGCTTGGAATACGCCGACCGCAGAAAAAAAAAAAAAACGGAACTAATTGAAAGAAGAGACAGTCAAGTGCCAAATAATTTGAGTGTGTCGTGGTGCAAACGAACATTAATAGAAAACTCTTCGATCCCGTTGGACGAGGACAAAACCGTGCAAAAGAAAACACACTATTTTCTCTCTGTTTAAGGTAAGTGTCCAAGTTACTCTCTCAAATTCATGCTCTCTTTTTTCTGCAACCCAAAACGTGATTTTAACAAAAGATAACTCTTCATCATTCTTATTCAGTTTGAAATTATAAAAGTTTTTCGCTAATTTTCGCATTTTTTTTCCCTCTTTAACTCGACACATATACAACAACAACAACAACAACGAAAAACAACCATAAATTTATCATCGCTCCAACAAATAAACCTAAAATATACCCAAAAAACACCAAAAGAGTAGCAAAACGACAGACAATCAAAAGGCAAAATTAAGAGAAAAAAAAAGAAAGAAAAAAAAACGAGAGAAAGAGAGAAAAGAGACCAACAACGAAAATACATGTTGATTATTGTGTGATATTTTGTGTATGCAATTTTATTTGCCTCTAAAATAGAGAAAGAGAACGCAGAAGAAGGTAAAAAGAGAGACCAAAGCAAGACAAAAAAAAAGTCGACAGAAAAAATATGAAAAGTTAAACGTTTTCAACACAATGATCAACCGGAGAGAGAGAGAGAGAGAGAGAGAGAGAGAGAAAAAAAATATTATAACACATACAAAATTATTAAAATTTGTATTCAAATTTTCGATTTGGAATGTCGTATCGATATGTTTTATTCCCCGTTTTGCTCTCCGTAAGAGACGAACATTCGAATGGAACGTCATAATGTGAAACGCGCTTGCCAAACATATGAATACACAGATACCAAAACACAGCAGCAGCAGCAACAGCAGCACCAACAAAGAGATACACAAAAAATCGAATTAAAAAAAATCGACTGTGCATTTGTTTAAAATATGAAAATTATGGTTTGTTATCGTTGATTTCAATAGACTGGCTTTTGTTCGCTATTGACCTCGCCACCATCGACATCAAATTTTAATACGCAATCCAATTTAGAAGCGATTGTTTTCAAACACTCTTTTCAAATCGATTAGTCGACTCAATAAATTCATGCCCATTTCATATGCCTCAGTCAATCGGTTTGGGTGCGACCGGTTGTCTTTTTTTACCACGACAAGTCGTTCAATCAACACAAAATGTCGTTCACAGTGCTTTAAGCACAAGATACAGTTATTCATGTCACTTGTCTTGTACATTTCGCAAACGGTTTCGAACAATTTTTGATGCATACCATCTCTGAACGTCAAATGAACAAGAATAAAAATAATTCCACTGGAATAAATCGAATTCATTAAGCAAATCAATTCTGCGAACGAATTTCGATGTGCCTAAAATTAGCAAAAAACGAAAATAGAATGGCCCACGACGCCACTTAAGAAATTGCGAAGCAATAAAACAGAATGCGTTATAAACCATTTATCGACGGTATAAAAATTGATGGAATAAGTGCATCGAATACGGCGTAAAACAATGGCAACATAAACGCGTGTGCCGATGATGGTGATTATGGAGGAAAAAGAGTGAGCCACGCGTCCGTTGGTGTTCTGTCTCCATGTAACGCACTGTTTTTTTTTTTCTTCGACAGTCCATTCGTTTTGGTTGATCTTTTGAGTCTGTTCCATCGAATGCAGTCGTTTGGCGCGATTTCTGAATGTTGCTTAAAAGCATCAATTCGTCTTATCTCGTCATTGTGCATAATTTCATCATTAAAACGACAAAAGAAGATGTGTACTATTAACGAACAATATCGCTAATAGTTTCTTTTTTCTTTGTTTTTCTACCTCTACCTTTCGCATTCTGTCTCTGTTTCTCGCGAGCGCGCATTTTCAATCGTGTTGCTGTTGATATTCTTGTTGGCGAGCGATTTCTGTGTGCTTACTCATTTCGCACAGCCACACACAATCGGCATTTTATGTGGCTTCTTACCGATTTGTCGATATTGATTATTTATTTGTTGTAGTTTGTGGTGAGCATCTCTCGGCAAATTTTGTTGTTGTCAAAATTATAAATCTCTGTGTATGGGTATGTGTTCGGTTTTTTTGTTTTGTTTTCAAGATTCGAGTGTTGCCAATGTACGCGCCTCCATTATGACAGAATGCGTTATCTAATGACATATAAATGCAAATCAATTTTTTTCCCTTGCCAACCGCAACAAAACACAGCCAATATACAACACTCAAGTCATCGCAAAACAAAAAAAACGACATCGCTGTGAATTTTCGATTTGGAAATTATTATTGTAATGTTCATCATTGATTGTGATGTGTGGATCTCGTTTCAGCGTTGCTCTCACTCATTCACTCACTTTGATTTGAGTCAAACTTGTGTAACGTTTGATTTTGGAATTTGGCAACTGTCTTTCGTTTGACCCGTTGTGCTGTATTTTTTACGTAAATGGCCACGGTTCATGGTTCGATTCAATAAAACCGATGGCGAATTTATTGTTCCGCGCCATTTCCTTTGTGTGCATCGTTTTTTTTTTTCTCGCCTGTATTTATTGTTTTAATGGTACAAATTGGTTTTTGATAAGGACTTCTTTATGGGATGGCCCCAGACTCATTTTACCTTGCCTGATAACACTTAACGTCCGATAATTAAATAAATCACGTTCGTTTATTCTGTCTCCTCTCTCGCTCTCCGTGTGTGTGTGTTTGTGTCAACCAAACGAATGATGAGGTTTTTTTTTTCTCGTTCGGAATTGCCTACATATCCATTAGCTAGCTGAAGTTTTGTGCAATGTGCGCATCATTTGAACCAAAGAACAATAACAAGAAAAAGACGACAAAAAATAATGTACATTGCATTTGTCTTCTTCTCACTTTCGTGTCGTGCCGCCGTCGTATCCTACGCACAACAAAAATCAATCACAACACTCAAAATAAATGTCTTCACTTCGACTGTATGACCTCTTTATCAAAAGATCTGTGCATTAAATTATACAACCAACCTAATGGAAAAAGATTTGTTAAATTTTTATATCGAAAATGTATAGAGGAAGAAAAAAAAATGATCATCGCATAAGAAAAAAGTGTGTCTCTTTTTATTTTCACCCGAAATGTGTATAAGGTCAAAAACACATCTTCCAAAAACTTGAATGAAAAATTACTAACAAATTACCATGGGATTGGCGAGATGGGTCGATTGGTGAATGTGTGTTCGTGTATTGCCGATTTTGGGTGACAGTTAATAATTACCAATGAATTTTTGAAATATTGTCTGCCATCACACCATTAACAAAAAAATTTTGGAGAGAAGTGTCCACAAAAAAAACAACCGTCCCGATGGAAACAAATGAAAAACCGTCGTTGTTTGAATCGAATGAGGTGCACACACACCACATCTCTGTGAAATAGTGTCTTGCCACACAACAACAAAAAAATCTTCAACGGTAATAGTATTGAAGTGATACGTACAACAGGTTCATTTTTACTGCATTTTAGAGAAAACGAAACAGTTCAAGCACTCTAGAAGGAAAAAAAAAATGAAGTGATAAAGAAAAGCACTTCCAATAAAAAGTGTTTATCATAAACTGCGGCAAGATGTATCTAATGCTTAATTTCGAATGAGAGAGAGAGAGAGAGATCCGAAGTCGGAGCGGCAAATTATAATATTGAATTAAAGAAGCAATTATCTAAATAATGGGAACGTATCAAACGGAATTCAAAATCGATAACAAGTTTTGAGCTTGGAACTTGTGAGGAAGCTAAAAACTAGAAGTTGCAAATGGTCGACTAGCTGGCTGGTCACATTCACCGTGCGCGCTAATTTCATTGTTTGCGCTTACGATCGGTTGGTCGGTTCGGCGATCGCCTTGACAGCATTTAGAAAACCAATTAAATCATAAATTCATGAATTCAATTTTATGAACCGTCAACTCTGTTTGTTTTTAAAGCATCGACCGAATATTTGTATTTTTTTTGTTCGTATTCCATCGGTGATTTCGGTGTTTGAGAGAGCGTGTATATAGTAATTTGGTAGCTTGGTATAGCAGTTGATTTGCTTTTTTCTTCATCTCTTTTCACAATAAGCAGCACGTTGTTTTCACGCGTTCGTTGTATCCAATTTATGCAAATGGACACTTTATTCAAATGGCAGAAAATTTTAATTTTTGCACTAATATTCATATTTTTATAACCGCTTTGATTTTTCATATCTCTTGTCTCGACGTGTTCACGAAGCCCGATGCGATTGTGTTGACAGCTTGGAATGACGCGTTCGTCTTACCATTTTGTCTACATCCATTCGAAAAGTCAGTTTTTTGGAAATTTTCTACATCTTAATAAAAACATCGGGAATCCAACGGTGACTAGTGAAAAAAAAACACCAATTTATAATTAGCATAATATTACGAGTTTTTTTTTCAGTTTTCGTGTGTCGATTTGATGAATGGCCAATTGAAAGAAATCGTAAAAATGTTTAAAACAAAACACACCGCCACGAAAACATTCGATTCACACACCGTATCGATCGCATATCATTTGCATTGATGCAAAATGGTTTGCATGGTTTTTATGTTGTCTTCATTGAAATGATCATATCGACAGATTGCATCGCAACGATAAGATATATGGAGTTGTAATTTTATCGATCCTTAACGGATTTGCAATTTAATCGAAATCATTTTGTGACAACGCGTTTTGTTCAGCTGAATCGGTGCTGTCATCTGCATTACGATTTATTTACACGATCCAAAAACTTTCTTCCGTTTCGATCCTGTCTTCGTTTTTTTTCTCTGCTCAATTTCGTATTGATTCGAAAGCAGAATGCGATAATCACTGCACTCACGATTAAAGTTGGAGGCGCATTCACATGTTTGACTCTTGTTTTTATTTGCTGCGACGTTCTTTGCTGTAGTTGTTGTTGTTCGCAATCGATTTCAAACCACTGTTTGCCATCTGATTTAATTCCAGCATGCGGCACTGTGCAACATTTTATAGTATTGAACTTTTAAGAGAGAGAGAGAGAGAGAGAGAGAGAGAGAGAGAGAGCGAAAAAAATGAGCCGTCGTAAAAAATTATTATTTATACGTTTGAATGATCTCGGTTGCGGCGAAATGCAAACGAAGAACCAGAATAGTTTGGTTA